ACAAGTCAGGGTTCTGTCAGGACACAAGTCAGGGTTCTGTCAGGACACATGTCAGGGTTCTGTCAGGACACAAGTCAGGGTTCTGTCAGGACACATCAAGGTAAAGGTAAATGGTCTGTACTTATCTTGCATCTTTCTATCTTATCAAGATATTCAAAGCTCTTTACAACAATCTGTGCCTCATTCATACAGCACTCTACAGATCTCTACAAAGCTAATTGAACAAATCATTCTAATGAGACTAATCAGAGCTTTATCACATTCAGACACTGATGGGACGCACATCGGAGGCAATGAGGGGTTCAGTGTCTTGCCCAGGGACACTTGGGCATGTGACTACTGGTGGATTCGAACCCCCAACTCTTGCATTGCAGGATGACTGCTCTAACCACTCAGCCACAGCCGCCCACATCAGGGTTTCGTCAGGACATACTGTATGTCAGGGTTCTGTCTGGGTTCTATCAGGGCCTATGTCAGGGTTCTAGTTTAGATCTGTTAAGATTTTATCAGGACCTTCTCAAGACCCGGGTGTACTTTGGACCCTACGAAGGTGGATCCGACACCTTACCCCCTCCTTGGCTTGCAGCAGCTGTTGTTCTGCCTTCTGCTTCTTGCAGTTGTAGTACTGGACTTCCACTTCATGGGTCAGCTGCAGCCACTTCTGCAGCGCCTCTGGCGGTACCCAGTGAACCTGCGACTCCATCTCTTTCTCCGCGTTTTTCAGCGCCGTTCGGACCTGCAGAAAACAGCGGTCAGCTCAGGTTCTGTTGGTCTCTGGGTAATAAACCTCTGATTGGACCTTACCTGTTCCAGTTCCTGCTCGGCGTACTTCTGCCGGTTCCGCCCGCTCTCGGCTCCCTTGCGCAGGTCTCGCAGGCGTTGAGCTTCCTGTTTGGCCGAGCTGATCTCGTTTCTCAGCTCCTCCTCCACCCGAACCTTCTCCACCTGAACACAGCGCTGCTCCTCCTGAGCCCGCTGCAGCCTGGCACAAAACACCAAGATCCGGTCAAGGCCCGCCAGTACGTCCTGAGTTCACATCAAAAGTCAAACAGCCGAAAACGTAAGTTACAGAAATGACATTACAAGATGTCCCTGCTGAGTCCAATCTTTGGAGCAGTTCTACACAACTGATGGGACAAAGAAACAATTTACTACAAGTGTCTCAGGAAACACTGAGACTGATCTGATGTTTGTGTTGGACTTACTGTCAATAAAATAAACATTTCTTTACCTGAATCGTCCTTTGATTGAAACTGGAATCTAATAATACATCAATAATCAGAGACGGATCGTGATATTATTGGTCTCAAGAAAAATTAATTAAATTCTTCGACCTTGACCTCTCTAAGTGGCTTTAAGAATCTGTTGGACTCCTGGCAGGGACCGATGCAGACATGTTCCTGTTTTTAGTTTCTACATTCACCTTAGAATCTAGAGGTTTTTTGTTACTTTTGTTTTAGCCATCTTATTTGTAACTAAAAAAAAAAATCTGTATGACTTTTTATAACTGTTTATTGTTGTTGCTGTTGTCCATTGTTTCATCTTTCTTTGTTAAATCAGGTCTCTCTTGTAAATGAGTCCTCGAGGCTCAATGGGATTTACCTGTAGAAATAAAGGTTGATTGAAAATTATTCGCAGAGATAATCTTTGTGAAGCAGAGATCACAGCTGCTGTTTATCAAAGGAGATGAACATAAAACTTGATTTGGTTTTATTAAAATCCTGCTTTTCTTCTTTATTCAAAGTTTATTTGTTTGAGGGTCGGGTCGAGATGGTCCGAATACCGTTTCCAGCCGCTGGGCCACATTTTGCCTTCATGTGCTCTACAGTCTCTGTCCTGAAACTAATCACATTTTAAACGTTTAAAGATTCTCATACAGGACAAAACTCTAAACCACAGGACGACGTGGCCCTTTCCCCGTTTGTAACGGTACAGCATGGTTCGACTCGACTCGGCACGGTTCCAAGGCTTTTCCACTAGCAACGGTTCGTAGAACCAGTTCCTTTTAAGCTGTAAAGGATGTTGTTGACCAGTTAAACCAGTATATCTCAGCCTAGATAATGGTTTTTGATCAATAACAACACAACCATGTTATTGTTGATGTTTTGTTCTCATGTCAGTTAGGGAGATGATCAGAGCCCTAAACCCCAGAGAACCACAGAGAAGATTCAGGCAGAGACACAGAGGAGCAGAAGTCTGCATCAACCTTAACCTCAGTGAATCCAGTGACCTGCTGGTGGGATGTGAGGGACAATATGTCAAACTGACAACCAGGTATCTGTGTGTGCAACAATCATCATCTACACCCTCAGAGTGAACATGTTCTACTGCTGGAGACACCGTCAGCCAGGAGCAGCTGGTTTGTGTCCAGAGAGAACAGACATGTTCATGTTTCTGAAGAAAAACTGTTCAGTGAAAAGGTCCTCAGTGTGAAGCAGTGACCATTAGACACTGACCTGTCACTGGTTTGAAACTGGTCTTTGAACTGGAAATCATTTGTTTATTTTAATGTAAGAAAACTGCTGGAATAGAAAAATACCAAAGTTAAAAAATAAAACTCAAGTCATGTACTGTAATGTGTAACTTTGTTTTATTCTCATCAGAACTGATGTTAATTAAAACACTGGTACCGAAAATGTACCGTTCAGGAACCGACACCAAAGTGAAGGTATCGTATCGAAAAATTCTGAACGATACCCAGCCCTACCCGGATCAAAGGAGCGGTACCAGAACTAAATGTGACCGGTTCTGGCTCCATGTTCTTGCTGTGGTGGACTCACCTGTCCTGCAGGTCCAGTAGACTTTGTTCGGCCCTCTGCAGACCCTCCAGGTCCTTCAGCAGCCCCCCCAGGTCGTCTCTGGACCTCCGGATCTGAGCATAGGCAAACCAGCATCCAGTCAGCGCCATCAGGATGGACCCGCCCAGAACCAGGTCTTTCCACCGGTTCTGCTGGCCTGCTCACACAGACAGAACCTCAAGTCAGGACCTGCTCCATCCAGAAACCTGAGTGGTGCTAAACAGAACCCGACCTGGTGGAGGTCCGAACAGAACCAGGTGGAGAGCTTTGAGCTGCAGCTTCTGAACGTGGCTCCGGTCCAGAACCTTCAGCAGGACCAGGGTCAGGGTGGTGTTCTTCACCGCCAGCCTGCAGGCACAAGGAGGAGTCTCAATCTGCTGGTTCTGTTCTGACTCATATGTTCTCCAACAAACACACGGTGACCCAAGCACCCCCCCCCCCCCACACACACACACACACACACACCGGTCCACTCAGACTCTGTACATCTTACACAACATGTGGAACCGGTCCAGGTTCTGATCTGAAGCAGAGCTGTGAGTCTGACAGAACCCTTCCCTCACGTGGAATCGGTCCAGGTTCTGATCCGGAGCAGAGCTGGGAGTCTGACATCAACACTTGTATTTTTAGCCTCTCAGAGATCTCTGCCGCTTGAACAGAACTGCGCAGCCCGAGCTGGAAATCTCAGCTTCAGCTCGGTGAGTGAACGACTGAATCGTGACTCAGATTTACTGACTCAAAGAATCAAAGAAGCTCTTTGAGCTTCAAATGAACCTGAAGGATCAGGAACGCCTCTGGACTCTTCATTTATCTCAATCTGACATGTTCAGCTGTCTTTTAGCTGTTTTAGTTCCTGGTCTTTAAGGCCACACCCCTATTCAGAGATTCTTTACTGTTGTTCACACCTCATGTGGTACATGTGGTGGAACGAGATTATGTTCACAGGGTCCAGTTACATACAACAATAAAATGGAAAAGAAAAACAGTAATAACATCTAAGATATGAACTAAGAAAAACATCAACTAAATATACACTAAGGACTAGTAGCATAAAACAATAATCTCCTCAGGGATGTGTGTTGAGCCCTCTCCTGTTCACTCTGCTCACGTATGATTGTGCAGCTACCCATCCAGGCTGTCATATTGAGGAACAAACACACCTACACCCCCCTGAACATAAGAGGATCTGCGGTGGAAGTGGTCTCCAGCTACAAGTACTTGGGTGTACACATGAATGACAACCTCAGCTGGAGCAACAACACCACCAGCCTGATGAAGAAAGCTCATCAGAGACTCTACTTCCTCAGGCGGCTGAGACGAGCTGGTCTGGAAGCTCAGTCCTCACCTCCTTCTACAGGTGTGCAGTGGAGAGCATCCTGTGCTCCAGCATCAACGTGTGGCATGGAGGCTGCACAGCTGCAGAAAGAAAAGCTTTGCAGAGAGTGGTGAAGGCTGCACAGAAGATGTTGGAATCAGCCTCCCCACCATCACAGACATCTACACCTCCAGATGCAGGAAGAGGGCCACCTGCATCATGAAGGACCCCACTCACCCAGCACACACACTTTTTGCCCCACTCCCCTCAGGAAGGAGGTTGAGGAGCATTAAGTGTAGAACCACTAGACTGAGGAACAGCTTCTACCCTGAGGCTGTTAGACTCATGAATCTCTAACTAGAATAATCACTGTGAAAAATCACATCATGTTGCTGCTGATCTGTTTCATGTTGCTGCTGATCTGTTTCATGTTGCTGCTGATCTGTTTCATGTTGCTGCTGATCTGTTTTATGTTGCTGCTGATTTGTTTCATGCTGTTGATGATGTCTGGAGGGCAACATCTGATTGGATGAAAAAAAAGGCTGAACAAAAAAAACAAGCCATTTGTGTTAACCACTGACATATTATGTCTTTGGTGTTAACTGGTTCAACATTAGCGGCGTCTCCATAACTCCTCTTTCCTGGAGATCCGGCGTGTCCAGCTGAGACTCACACTGTGGGGTATGTCATGGATTTGTGGGGAGTGTGGCAATCGATGTGCATTACAGTCCTGTCTCAAGAGGATGTTGAAGACGTTTACATATTTGGACTTATGATAGCAGGGACTCTGCTTTTTGGCATCGGCGGGACTCTGTTTTATCGACTTTTGAAGAAGACAACAGGAGCAGAGTTTCGGTCACGGAAAAGCTCCCGAGTCAGTGTGAAGGTCTGGTCCTCGCTGTGGGAACTTTAAATCATCTGGTCTACGAGCTTAACCGTAAGGTGGAGGCGATTGAGAATCGCAGACCACCTGCGGCTTCTGGGACTCGTCAGCGTGGTGGGTTCGACCTTGAAGGAGACTCATAACATGGATCAGTGGAATTAAATTCCACAATTAGGCTTTTTCGGAACCAGAACGCCCAGATGGACTCAAGGCTGAAGAAAAAAGTAATATGTCTGCCTGAAATAAAACAAGAATCAAGCTAATCTGAATCTGACTCCCGGCAGCCTCAGAGACGGGCTGACTATCAAATCTCTCCTGGGACATGAGTACCCAGGGATAAAAGCTTCATCTGTAGCAACATAAATGTGCAGTGGGGAGGGCTAAATGTTTGTTTTTTTAATACCTAGCCATTACATTAAAAAACAAAATCTGTTTTGGTCGTTGAAAAATGTGAAAATAGTTACAATCAGTTCATAAATAAAGAAAAATAAAGTAACCAAAATAATAATGATACTTGAACTGTCTTTTGGACAAAGGATGTTTCTTTAACTTCACATTTTCTTGTTCAACTCTTAAATCAGTCGCTGCAGATGAGTGATGGTCAGTTTCTGTCAGAGTTCTGCAACTGGAGCAGGTATTCTGTTTACTGGTTCACTTCCTCAGCTGTCTCACATTTTAAGGGTCAGTCCTTCTCCATGTTTCAGCTCCTCTCATACATCACATCTCATAGAAGAACTTCTAAAGAACATTTTGTTTTGGGCCGTTATCTCGTCACAGGACTCATGATCTTTAATTGAGACCAGACGTTGAGACAAATGGAGCAGGTTTCTCTTCAGATGCTTCATATTTCATTGTACCCAGACCAGACTCAAGACAACCTGTGTCAGGTGCAGCCTACAAGAACTAAAGAGAATCTTAGCAGCTGTTAGCAGCTGTTAGCATCTGCTAACAGCTGCTAACAGCTAATATCTACCAACAGCCGCTAGCTGCTAACAGCTGCTAACAGCTGCTAACAGCTGCTAACAGCTGCTAAGATTCTCTTTAGTTTGCATCTGGGTCAGACAGTCAGAAACTGTTGAGGAACGTGTTTCGGCCGCAGGTGGAAATATCAACAAAGTTTAAAAAATGTAAACAAATAAATAATAAAATAATAAAAATATATTAGGCTTTTTTAATAATAAAATGCTTTACAAAGCTCCATGTTGGACCACAGGGAGATTGGAATGAGTCAGACCCAAAACACAGCCTTACTGTCAGCTCCTGGATTGGCAGGACCCCACAGTCTGCGGGGGCTTCACAAAACTCTGGACTGGACTTTAATTTAACTGTCAAAAATCACTCAAAGGGAAAAAGTTCAAACTTTGTTCAAAACTGAAACCTAAACTTGCTATAAAATAAAAATCTTATGGATTAAAAACACAGAAATGTGGAGATTTTTTTTTAACAAAAAGACCCTTAAATCGTTTAAACGTTACATTTTTACATCAGTTCTTCTAAACAATTAACTCTCAGTTGAGTGAGGCTTCACACGTCAGGTGCGTCGTGCCGGGGTCAGGTGTGTCAGTATCGGGTTCAGGTGTGTCAGTATCGGGTTCAGGTGTGTCAGTACCGGGGACAGGTGTGTCGGTACCGGGGTCAGGTGTGTCGGTACCGGAGTCAGGTGTGTCAGTACCGGGGTCAGGTGTGTCGGTACCGGGGTCAGGTGTGTCAGTACCGGAGTCAGGTGTGCCAGTACCGGGGTCAGGTGTGTCAGTACTGGGGTCAGGTGTGTCGGTACCGAGGACAAGTGTGTCGGTACCGGGGTCAGGTGTGTCAGTTCCGGGGTCAGGTGTGTTGTGCATCGTGCCGGTGTCAGGTGTGTCAGCGCTGGGGTCAGGTGTGTCGGTACCGGGGACAGGTGTGACGGTACCGGGTTCAGGTGTGTCGGTACCGGGGTCAGGTGTGTCGGTACCGGAGTCAGGTGTGTCAGTACCGGGGTCAGGTGTGTCAGTACCGGGGTCAGGTGTGTCGGTACCAAGGACAGGTGTGTCAGTACCGGGGTCAGGTGTGTCGTACCGGGGTCAGGTGGGTCGGTACCGAGGACAGGTGTGTCGTACCGGGGACAGGTGTGTCGATACCGGGGACAAGTGTGTCGGTACCGGGGACAGGTGTGTCGTACCGGGGTCAGGTGTGTCAGTTCCAGGGTCAGGTGTGTCGGTACCGGGGTCAGGTGTGTCAGTACCTGGGCAGAGACCTGCCATCCACCTGCTGCGTCCTGAAGCTGTCCACGTACTGAGGGAGCTCCACGCTGCCGGACAACCACTCCTCCACTTGCTGCTCCGTCCAGTTATACACTGAGGACACCAGAGGGACGGAGACACAGTCAGCTCAGGGGGACAAACTCTGTCCTCCTCTATGAAAAACAAAACATTTTGTTCTTCAGAACTTTTGAAAATGATTTTATGAATATAACAAAAACAGAATGCTACAATTTTGTCAGGAACTTGTTTTATTATTGCTGAAACAGTAAACAGACCAGATGTTGACAAGAATCAAAGACTGAGAACAACATCTGCTCCCATACGTCAGACCAGAGTGGGACAGCTGGGCTCAGGTCCTCCAAGACCTCCAACAACTGGTCTCCTCAGGTCCACCAAGACTTCCAACAACTGGTCTCCTCAGGTCCTCTAAGACCTCAAACAACTGGTCTCCTCAGGACCTCCAAGACCTCAAACAACTGGTCTCCTCAGTTCCTCCAAGACCTCAAACAACTGGTCTCCGCAGGTCCTCTAAGACCTCAAACAACTGGTCTCCTCAGGTCCTCCAAGACCTTCAACAACTGGTTTCCTCAAGTCCTCCAAAACCTCGAACAACTGGTCTCCTCAAGTCCTCCAAAACCTCCAACAACTGGTCTCCTCAGGACCTCCAAGACCTCCAACAACTGGTCTACTCAGGACCTCCAAGACCTCAAACAACTGGTCTCCTCAGTTCCTCCAAGACCTCAAACAACTGGTCTCCGCAGGTCCTCTAAGACCTCAAACAACTGGTCTCCTCAGGTCCTCCAAGACCTTCAACAACTGGTTTCCTCAAGTCCTCCAAAACCTCGAACAACTGGTCTCCTCAAGTCCTC